GGCTGGCTTCAAAGAGAAAGGTCTGAACGGGGAGGTATCGATGCTTATAAACTCCAGCTGCGATCTGTTAGTGCAGGGAAATCACTTTGTATAAGCTCACTTCGAAAATTTGGTTGCTCGTTTATTTGTTTATTTGTGCAAACATCAGCGGGATAATCGCCGAAAGACAGGTGAAGTCGACATATAAAAAGGAAAATATTTTATTGAAAAGTGACTGCACTAAATATCTAAATGAATTATCCCTAATCTATTTCACGTCATACTCAGTCATCATCATACACGCTCCGAAGTTCGTCTGTTCGGCAGCGACGGGTTATCTGCTGAGGGCATCTCTCTCTGGCGCGTGCTGGTTGCCATGACGACCGGAGAGACACGGCTTGGAGCGGCCGGTCGCCGGCGTAATCACCATTGATGAAGTTTTATTAGCTTTCAAAGGGAGGTGCACGGCTATATTGGCGGCACGAGCCAACGTTATGAGTCGGCAGCGCCTGTTCATTAGGTGGAGCGTGCCGCCGAGTGGGGCCCGTGTCGGTGACGACTATAGGGACAGGTGAGCCGAGTCCGGTCCGACGGCAGAGAGAAGAGGTCGTACGACTGGTCCTACAACAACTGAGCGAAATCTGGTCCTTCAAGTGAACGAGTTCAAGTCCTACCACGAAAAAAGAGCCGGTTTTCTTTGAAGCCGGTCTGGTTTCGACAATTGCGGGTGGCGTCGAGCCCAACCACAGGAAGCATGCCCGGTCCAATTTTCGGGAGGAGAACAAGAGCACACACGGCACAAACGGCAGACAAACTGCACTTTTGAGACACGAAAACTAACATCACAATATTTTATAGTTTAGCTCTTTCGTGCATTTCGTCAGAATATATGTTCTATGTACTGCCTATTATAGGTGAGACGTTGTGCCGAGCTGAGGGTGCCCTGGCGCAACAAATCCGCCGCCGCCCTAGCGGTGATCTTGACATCCGCCAGCTGTTGCGGCTCCAAAGCCAAGCCGGCATGGAAATGGGAGAGTTCAAGCACTCCGGCCCAATCCCCGCACAAAGTTCTACGTTAATGGTAGTACCCCAAAAAGAATAAAAAAAAACCTATGCAGATATTCTAAATGCGCTATTTCTCGTCTATTCCACTTTGAGCTTTTGTAGTACCCCTACGGAGTAACTTTTTTACAAAGTTACTTTGTTACCAACTTTGTAAAAACACTCACAGCCCGCACCGGCCACCAAGGCTGTAGAGTCGGAGTCAGATTTGGAGTTGGAGTCACAGCCGTCGGACTCGTAGTCCGAGTCGACACCGTTTGGCTAAAAGTCATGCTCTGTGTTTGTCGAAACATTTTGTGCTCGTTTCTCATCGAATGTGTGCATTATACCTAGTTTGATTCCGATATTGAATAATCTGAGCAGAGTGTCCAGCACGGTCCGGACAAGGGACAGAGATCCGGTGGGGTCATAGGTGTCTAATGCCAGGCCTACATTCTTCAACAACCCTGATTCCCTCCTCACAGACAGGCGCCGTGTGAGGAACTCTCAGAAAGCATGGACCCCTTTAAGGCCGGCAAGAGCCCTCTGAGACTGGCGGGGGACCATAGGTATGGGAAGAGGATCCGAGATCGGTTTGAAGGCTAATATTCAAAGTAGCTCCTTGGGATGTCGAACCTCTGCATGCACTTACAGACTGGATACTGGATAGTCTCCAGCCCTGGATACTGGATAGGATGCTGGAGTACCAGCTAGAGCTCTGGCTTTCTGTCAAGATCCTGCAGCGGCCAGTTCAGCTGCGGCCCAGAACTACAACTCGGTGTAAATCTTCACAATGCACCAAGAAGTCTGTGGTTAGGATAACAGATATAAGTCATTTTACTGCGATACGGGCCAAGGCTCTATAGATACGGGCCATGAAAGAAATATTCGGAGTCGAAGTGGGAACCTGATTTACAACTGGAGTCGAAGTCGGAGTTGAAGTCGATATTCAAAAGCCAGAGTTAGAGTCGGAGTCGGACCCGTCGAAAATCCGTTAACTCCGCCGTCATAAAAGTCACAGCATAGTGCATGAATTTATTCGCAGTAAGGAAATCAATAGAGGTGCATCGTCATAAACAGAGACAAGCTGTATCCGAGAACCGAAATCTCGTGTGGTATGGAATATTAACCCCAAAAAGGCGCGCAAAAATCCTGAAATCCTGAGATCCATTACTTGAAGTAGTGGGCGCGCGTTAGCTTGTAGAATGTAGGTCTAGGATCCGGCTTTGTGTTGCTCCTATTTCCCCGTTCCGCGCTCGACAACATTTGCTTTCGGGTAAAATACAAAGTAGGTAAACCTCTCTTTCAGTGCAGTATCTTTGTATTGCCTTCCTGTTATTATGGTAGACATTAATTCACTGGCGGATCCAGGCTTGCGTTTTGGGGGGGGGGGGCCAACTCATGCAGGAGCCAAACCTAGGGTACCCCCAAATCCTGTTTTCTCATCGGATTTAGGCCACTTATTTTTCGTCACAGCCCTGACACTATGAATATTTTTTTTTTTAACTAAAAGTAAAAATATATAAATGGTAGCCCATCCGACCCATGCCTTTATATTGCTTTGTAAACACTTACCATTGCTTTTGTCGACCAGTTAACCCGCTTCGAGTCAGTGCTTGGGTCCCTTTGCGGGCCGGGAGGTGGTAAAACACCCCCTGTCTAACTCGGCTCCTGGGCCAGGCACTGATTGAACTATGTTTCATTATCGCTTAGGGGAGGGGGCAAACGGGCCACTTTAGGCCTCTGGGAAGGGGGCATGGCCGTAAATGCCCCCTCCCTGGATCCGCCAGTATAAGAGACCATTGGAGCTGCAGTTGGGTACCTCAGACGTCAGGGTACGCCCTCAGATGTATATGTAGGACTCGCATGGAGACCTCTTATGCTATAGTGGACTGAAAGGACCCAAAGGAGCCTGTCTAGGGCTCCCGGAGATAGACGTGGGCCCTCAGGAGCCCACCAGAGCCCCCAATGAGGGATAAGTGAGGGATACCAAGTGCCTGCCATTGCATATTGCATAAGCCATAACGCCATTATTAATCAATATGATATGTATCAGTGGCAGATCCAAGGGGGGCCACATGGGTCATGACCCCCCCTTGGTGCCCGGGGGCACCACAGGCCTGTCGAGGGGCACCACCGGTCTAGCAGGGGCACCACCAGCCCGCCAGGGGCACCACAGGCCTAGCAAGGGCACCACGGGCCTGTGAGGGGCACCCCAGGTCTGTCAGGGACACCAGAGACCTGCCAGGGGCGACGAAGCCTAGCAGGGGCACCATGGGCCTGTCAGGGGCACCTGGGGCCGTATTCACGTCGATCATTTTCGTAAGAATTTTCTTAAGTTTGACCTACTTCTTAAGTAAATTTTTTTAATCACGTGGACTCCGTTGATAAAAACTTAAGAAGTGTCGACGTGAATACCAAATTATACTTACGAAAGAAAATCGACTTACGAAGTCGACGTGAATACGGCCCCAGAGGCCTAGCAGGGGTACCAGTACCACAGGCCTTACAGGGGCACCACCGGCCTTGCAGGGGCACCTTGGGCCTGTCAGGGGCACCACAGTCCTGTCAGGGCCCAGGGGCACCAGCGGCCTAGCAGGGGCACCACAGGCCTGCCAGGGGCACCACCGGTCTAGCAGGGGCACCACCGGCCTCGCAGGGGCACCACCGGCCTCGCAGACAACACGGCATCACGCAGGGGCACCTTGGGCCTGTCGGGGGCATCACGGGTCTGTTAGGGGCACTTTAGGCTTGTTAGGGGCACCACAGTCCTGTCAGGTCCCAGGGGCATCAGCAGCCTAGCAGGGGCACCCTAGGCCCGCCAGAGGCACCACAGGCCTGCCAGGGTCCAGGGGCACCACAGACCTAGCAAGGGCACCACGGGCCTGTCAGGGGCACCTCAGGCTCCCGTGCCCCCCCCCCCCCCGGATCCGCCAGTGATGCCTCACCACGCGAAACACCGCCAACTCCCAGCTACCGCGCCATAAACACGTGCCAACAACAGTCTTTTTTGAAGGTCGACTCCACTCACGCAACTTTTGACTGACCCTCACTGCTACCATATTGCTTCCATATTATGCTCTGGAAAGCTTTACTTCACCAAGTGTGCTAAAAACCTCCATCAAGGTATATTTTCTTAGCAATTTTTCTGACGTTTTGGGGGGGGGGGGCAAACAGGCCACTTTAGGCCTTTGGGGGGGGGGGGGCATGGCCCCCGTGCCCCCCCCTGGATCCGCCAGTGGACATTATGCATATGTTATGACTTACGAGGTAAATTTTACAGGCCAGCCTGCATTGTGGGACTACCAGCAGCCATCAAATGGGAAAGGAAAATTAGAAAAGAAGGGTCAGGTGTGAGAGAGAGAGAGAGAGAGAGAGAGAGAGAGAGAGAGAGAGAGAGAGAGAGAGAGAGAGAGAGAGAGAGAGAGAGAGAGAGAGAGAGAGAGAGAGAAAGAGAAAGAGAGAGAGAGAGAGAGAGAGAGAGAGAGAGAGAGAGAGAGAGAGAGAGAGAGAGAGAGAGAGAGAGAGAGAGAGAGAGAGAGAGAGAGAGACCGAGCGAGAGCAGGAGAAGAAATAGAAATAACACCACAATCATTTACTGATCGGACAATTGTGCAGATCCTGCGGTAGCCGGTAGACAATATACCTAGTCGATTACATTCCGGCTACTGGCAATAACCACGGTGATAAGACTGCAGCCGATTGTCACATTCTCGGCACTGGAGGCTTTCCAGGGGACGACAAATGAAGTGGAGCACTGCAGCAACTGCGGCTCACGGCGCCATAAGACTGCCATCCTCTTTCAATTTCGCCGTGCCGCTGCCATTGCCGAGACTGTGATGGAGCCATACAATTTCCTTGTGGCTTGCAGGCATCTCGGGGGCAGAGTCGACGCATCAGAAGGCGGCCCCTGATTGGCCGAGGCGCCACGGCCGTCGGCCGCCTCAGGGCTCTGATTGGTCGGCGCCGGCGCTGCGAGTGTATTGGTTTGGCAGTAATGGTCGGTTAGGGGAGCTTGGTCCGCGGATGGGCCGTATCATTTTGCGTTATAGCTTCATAACTTTAGTTTATATCCCGGGCCCTACTTGTTGATTGTCCTCAAATAGTGCTGCGATGCTTGTAAACTCGGCAAAGAGTGGAATGCAACTTAACCCGACCTCTGGCCAGCTGATCGGTGAGTACGACAGGCCGGCCGGGCCTCCAGCCGCGTCCGCCGCCTAATTAGGTGCTTTCGCCCTTCATTAGGCGCGGCTCACATGATAGGGAGTTGTGTGATCAAATTTATTTGCGTGATTACGGACTGAGCGGCGGCCGTGGAAGACGGCCGATGTCGAGCCGGGTCGCCGTGGCCAGTGGTGTCGAGTGTCTGCTGTCGGCGCGTGTCGCCCTTCGACGGCCGTCGGTCGTTTGTGCTGCCGCTGCTGCTGGACTGGGACGTGTTCATGAGGTGGACCGGGGTACTGTGGGAGTGTAGGCTACCCCGTGTTGGGAGAGGAGCTCCATCAGTGCTGCAGGTCACCAGAGGCCAGGTCAGGTCACAGGGATTCGTCCGGTGAGCTTTCAGTAATCAGTCGCTCTGCGCCGATCGGTGCCGTAAAAGCCGTCGGTGCGATGATAGCCCAGCTCAACTGGCGACTGTGGTCTGTGAGCCTGATTTTGAGACTGCCTTGATAGGATTTTCGGGCTTTTATGTTAAGTCAGGTAATATTTTGTGTAACGAAAATGTCCGCCGACTGAAAGTTCTTATTTTCGAAAGAAAAATAGTTTATCTGAAACGTAAGAAGTAAGCAGTGAAATGGCAAAACCAGCTCTAAAACCCAAATCGTACAGTATGGTCGACTACTACAGAATGATGTTCCACTCCTCAGAAGCTATCAGTTGACCGGAGCGCTAAGTTGTGCCGTTTATCACGCAATTAAGCGTGTCGATTGTGAGCATTGGGACAAAGCTATAATTTGTGAACTCAGCCCATGTGGTGCGGCACAGCCTACCACTCCAGCCAAATAATTGCCTGTGAAAAGTGGAACATCATTTTGTAGTCGACTATGCACTATAATCGACCTAAATTAAAATCAAAGGAAAGGGTAAGGTGGCAGGTGCTTACTCGTGGAATATCAAAGACAGTTATAAGTATATGATAACAATAGCAGGTCAAATGTTTATATTGAAACGCACAAAGCTTTCAGTAGGTATGAAAATACCTTGGTGTTTAAACATGTTCTGTCATTCTTTCTGCAAAACACAGCAGCCAAGGTATTTTCACACCGAAAATACCAAAATGTCTTTCAATGATATACATTTGTCATGTTTTTATTATCGTTTAGCTGCATAATTTCAATGCAATTACAATTTCATTACAAGTGGAGTAAGCAGCGGGTAGGAAATTAGTGTGTCACAGGCTGGTGGGTATAGCGAGATTTTGCCTACCAAAGAAAAGAAAGAAGCTAGTTTACCAGTAACGTGTTTTGATCGCAAGTCAACGTTCAAGTAAGTCAAACGAAGGAAAGTCATCTTTGGAAATGTGATTTCCCCACACAGGAACGCATTTGGGGATGGAGCCCTCCCCTGTAAAAGGGTAAAATTACTTTGACTTGTAAGTGAAAAACATCGTTTTTTTAAATTAGATAAAACAGCCGTTTTCACGACAGGCTATCGGGCGAAAGCTCTAAAAATGACACATTTGCACCTTATCTCTTTTACAGCAAATATCTTCATGTCATAAATTTAATTCAGTGTTTTAATCGAAAATAATGTCTGATAATTGAAAAGCAGATATGTAAGCAACAGTGCAACCCGAGCTGAACATTTCTAAGAAACTCAATAAACCTAAGATGAGGATCACACACGCATGAGGGCCAAATGACATGAGGCAACACGTCTGTAAGATGCCCCAGCCATATAGCGGCTGATTCCATGAGCTTTGCAATCTATTTTGGGGAGCATTCGATCTCTGAGATCCGCTTATTTAAAAAGTAAAATAAGTTTAGTTTGGACCACCAGTTTGGACTTTGGTTGCTCTGTACCTACTGTGATATGCAAGCGACCTTTAAATGCCTCACTTAGAATATGTAGATAACGGAATATCTATTAACCCGCGCCCTGCTGGGGGGGGGGTGTTTGAACACCCCCCTTGTGGTTTTTCGCAAATATCTCAAAAACGGCGGCGCGGAGCGCCGCCGTTTTTGGTACACCTTATCATACATCAATTCTGCACATGTTGTGAAAATTTCAGACCAAGGTCATTCAAGGTCAGGTCACCAGGTCACTTGAAGTGACCTCACCTCATAAAAAGTTTCAATGTCTGTCATAGCTACACCGAGTGATCGATCGCTTTGAAACTTTCAGCGATTGCTAAGAGCAATAGCATGTACAAAATGTATATCTCAGAATTTTGATATCGATGACCTAAGGTCAGGTCAATTTTGCGACCTCCCCATTATAAGTCAATGGGAGAAAATTGAAATGCGCCTATTTTGGACCAAAGACATTATAAACACTCCCAAACACTGAATTACAAGTGGTTTAGACACACTGAACATGAAAATGGTGTCCGTGACCCCTGTTTATGCCCTGAGGTCATCTTAGGTCACAAATGTTATCTAACAGTTTTTCGCAAATAACTTTTGATAGAGGCATGCTAGAGCGATGAAAACGCCTTAGATGTGTTCAGCTCGACGATACGGATCGACTGATATGCAACATGACCCTTTCCGGTCAGGTCATGACCTTGACCTGAGGTCAAATTTTCAAGTTGACCTTTCAAGGTCAAGTTATAGTTCATTCGATGCGTCTTGACGAGAGGAACACGATGCCGGTAAAAGTAAGCTCGTACAAGGCTTGGGTCAAAAGTTATTGCAGAAAAACTGTTTTCGAAAAAATCGGCTATTTTTGCAGTTTTTGCCCCCTACAGGCAAAACCGTTGACGTTAGGTCAAATCTGAGAGCATTACTCAGAAAGGGCGTTAATAGGGCTATCGAATGCGCTTTTCCGCGGCGCTGTAGCTCTATTGGTTCCCGAGTTATGCGTTGGCTTCTTGGAAATTGTCGACATTCGACCTGGAAATCGGCGAAATTTTGCCTTCAATGACCTCTGGTGACCTGACCTTTGACCTGACCAAAAAATTGACCGAAGTGATTTTCTCATTATTTTTGACGCTCTTTCGAACGCCGCCTTCCGCGTATCGCTACGTGGCCTAGGAGCCGAGTTAGAAGGGGGGGTGTTCAAACACCCCCCCCCCCCCAGCAGGGCGTGGAAATCCAGGACCCCCAGCGGGGCGCGGGTTAATTTACCCCTCAGAATAATTATCATATGAAGAGTGTTTTGTTTGTCAAATATAGTCAGCACTACAAAATTGAAAGCACCCCGAAATTGAAAATTTAATTTCTCCTCGGCTCAGTAATTGACAGCAAAGAATGATGTCTCGCAAACCGCGGGTATTTACCAATAACTCGGCTGTTTTGTGGCGTCAAGCTAGTTAGAACAGCTTTTGGTCACACTGGCCGTTTTCACGACGGAACTTTCGCAGAGGAACTTATTTGATACCTAAAAAGTACCTACCCTTAGAGGCCTTAACATCCCTCAAACTGAAATATTTTATGTTCAAAATAATTTTAGAAGTTTAAATCCGGGCATTTTTTGCCCTCAAATCACTTATTTATTTACAAACACAGCAATTTTTGGTTCTAATAGCCCACCTTTCGACTATGAGGTATTAAATCAGCGTGGCAACTTGCTCCCTCTTTGCTCCCTCGGGTATCTAATTCCGGAATTCTTAAAAACAAGGAAAGTATATATCGAGTTCTCTTTTATACCTATTCAGTTATGTTTTAATGGTGATTAAAATATGACAAATTTTTTAATTACATTTCATATAAGAAAACACGCAAAACAATGAAACAAAAATAACTACGGCAGATAATTACCTTCAGGTATCTAATTCCGACCAATCAGCACCTCAGTGGGATATGACGTCATAACAGAATGGTGGTGAAGGCCGTTTGCAGTCCCGGCCGGTAGGTCACGTGACCGCCGGGCGCCTCGGGTCACGCGGCGGTCGGGAGTCGGACGCGGGGCGTGGTCGCGGGCGGACGCGCGGGGCATCATGCTTTGCTTTGCTTGCTTTGTCAACTTCATATAACTTACTATCGCATTCGTGTGAAAGCCAAACACTGCTCAGTGCCTTTAGAAATTGAGTTTTGGAAAGCTCAAGTCCCTATAGCTCAGTGGCGGCGGAAGGTATTTTGGGATGGGGGGGCACACCTGATCCTTCCCGGAACCTAGGGTACCCCCAGATCTAGTTTTCTCACCGGTTTTAGGCCACTTATTTTTCACCCCTTGGCCTTTACAACAAAAATTAAAAAAAAATAAAACATTTGCAAATAAGTGAGATATTTAGTCTCATCTGAGTCAAGAAACTACCTTTTTGGTAACCTGGAATAAACGTTTAAAGCTTCCACACATGAGCTGTCAAGTCAGGTACGGGGACCCGCAGTTGCTACTGTACAGCGACCCTGAGTAAATTGTCCCAGCACCCTCACAGGGAACAACGATAAGCCGTCAGAGGGCACGCACAGAAAACCTCAGCTGCTCTTGTGCAGGGACCGGCAGTCGATATCAATGTTATCGGTTGTTACTGGACAGGACAGACGGCTAGATTTGGGGTTCGTGTACAGTGGGTCTATTTAAGATCTCCAGAGCCACCACGTGGCGCTACGGTCGGGGTAGGGCGAGTCCAAATCCCGAGGGAAGTGAGGTCATTGGTCATTGTGGGGGAAGGAGGGAGGGGGAGTGAGCCGGTATCACGGCGCATGGGGCGTGCGTAGCGCCGGGAGTGGGCCAGGGCCGCCCAGGGCCGCCCGCCACTGCGCCGAGGCTGAGGGGAGGGGATGACGGTTGCGGGTGCGTTCACTCCGGTATGGTGGTATCCTGTTCATGTGGAACGGGCAAGAACGCGACTGAAGGGAATCATTATCTCAAACAAACGGGCAAGCCAGAGGCAGCGTCAGTTCCAGCCAAAATGTTGAACAATGAACAATGATAATTGAAATCTAGGACGTATTCATAGCATGCAACTTTTCAGTCGATAGTTGCATGATGGTTTTCACGATGCATGATGAGGCTTTTCTAAACTGTTATTTGAGTTTGATATTTTTCATTTGGCACGTTCAGTTTTGG